ATGTAATTCCTTCAAAACCCAGCACAAATCCTTACCAACCCCCCAAGTGCAAAGTAATGACTATGGAAACCACAGTAGAATGCCAGCCTACCCCTGAAACCTTCCTGGTGCGACTGAGCGTTCTGGCTGGTGATGGCGAGGCCAGGGGTCCTGTCTAGTGTAGGAAAGAGAGAGCTGGTGCAGGAAGAGGATATTTCCGTACTGAGATGGCTTTTCTCTGCTCTGCAGGTTTTATGGCCTGGGCTGCTCCTTCAACTGAGCCCAGCAGCCCATGGGCCAGCCCTGCCTCTCCTCCTGCAGACCTCGGTCGGGGTGGTAAAGAGGATGCAGGAGGAAGGCAGGCTGCCCTTGGCCAGGAGGTTTGGTGAGGAGAACAGAGGTGAGTCCCAGTATTTTATCCACCTGCTCTTAATCTCTCTGTAGTGAGTGGCTTCTGCCCCGAGGTTGGGGTGGGGATGGGGATGGGGATGAGCTCTTGACTCTGTTTCCTGCCCACTGGAAGGACACAACTTGTTGTCGAGGGAAAGTTAGAGCTCAGAGGCAAATGCAAAGGAGCCGTCCAGACTCAGAACCTGACGGGATGTTTCTCTCTTCTGTTCTCAGGGTAAACCCCAGGGCCTCTCAGCCCCAGGAGCTGCTGGGGAGCGAGTTATGCTCAGGTGGTTTCCTTATTCAGTGACTGCAGAGAAGTGAGAGGAGAAGGAAATCCGACTTCTCCTCTGTTGCTGTTACTGCCTTTACTGGACAATTAATGGTACAGGAATGGATTCACAACCAGGTGGTCTTTTGCTTTACTGCGGTGGAAGAGCAGAAATCAGGCCCCAGAGATGCAGCTTAAAAAGAAGGCAGTGCCAAGGTTATTGGACACATGCCTATTGGAGAAGAAGAAAAAGCTGATGCAGGAAGATATTTCCATACTTAGATGGCTTTCCTCTGCTTTGAAGGTTTTATTTGCCTGGGCTGCTGGACCACCTCAGGCCAGCAGCCTAGGGGCCAGCCCTGCCTCCCCTCCTGCAGATACTATTTGGGGTAAGGAAGAGGAAGCAGGATTTCTGCAAATCACCAAGGGAAGGTCTGGAGAGAGGTGCACAGAAGCAGCACAAGCCCTGGGAGCCAAGCCAAGCATGCCCCAATTAGCGGCACTGGAGGCAGTGTATGAGGCTTAACCATGATACTTCTGCCTCATTTGGGCTATGCTGAGGGATGCCAGTCCCCAAACAGCACCTCCCACAGCCTCATGGGCTCAGGGAGGTAAAACCAAGGATGCCTAAAGGCTGACCTGGAATTCCCTCTGATGGTGTGTTAGGCCTGGCAAGGTTACTCTGATCCCCTTGGGCTGCTAGCACCCTCCCCACCATTCCTCTCTTTACTAGATATAGCGAGGCTAAGGCGAGCCAACGTGCTTTCAGAGTAGCAGCCGTGTTAGTCTGTATCCGCAAAAAGAACAGGAGTACTTGTGGCACCTTAGAGACTAACAAATTTATTAGAGCATAAGCTTTTGTGGGCTACAACCCACTTCTTCGGATGCATATAGAGTGAAACATATATAGAGGAGATATATATACACACATACAGAGAGCATGAATAGGTGGGAGTTGTCTTACCAACTCTGAGAGACCAATTAAGTAAGAGAAAAACATTAAATCTATCTCCCCTTGTAAGTATTCTCACACTTGCTTCTTATCAAACTGTCTGTACTTGGCTATCTTGATTATCACTTCAAAAGTTTTTTTTCCTCTTACTTAATTGGCCTCTCAGAGTTGGTAAGACAACTCCCACCTCTTCATGCTCTCTGTATGTGTGTATATATATCTCCTCTATAAATGTTTCACTCTATATGCATCCGAAGAAGTGGGTTGTAGCCCACGAAAGCTTATGCTCTAATAAATTTGTTAGTCTCTAAGGTGCCACAAGTACTCCTGTTCTTTTTGCCAATGTGCTTTGGTTGTGATGCTAATCTGGGCCAGTACAGCCTGAGAAAGCATATGCTTGGTAGAGAGGATGATGACCTAAGCAAAGATGGGTGATAGATTTCTCTGTTCTAGGGCGCTCCCCTTTTCCCCAGCCCTCCAACATCCCACTATTTCCCCTCTGCAAATTGGATCTGTTCTAAAGACAGCAGGAATGGACTCAAACACCCAGGCTAGAGTTCTCCCCTGCAGGCCACAGCCCACCAGCAGACTTCATGCATGGTGCCAGGCATAGGTGCTGATTCTGTGGGTGCTCTAGGGCTGGAGCACCCATGGGGAAATATTATTGGGTGCACTGCACCCACTGGCAGCCAAGCTCCCTCCTCCTTGCCTCCTTCTCCCCCCAATGTCCCTGTGTGTGCTGTATCCCCACTCCTCCCTCTCCCTTCCAGTGTTTCCCACCACACCACTGCCAACAGCTGTTTGGTGGGGCTTAAGACTTTCTGGGAGGTGCAGGGGAGGAGATGGAGAAGAGGCAAGGCAGGGGCAGAGACTTGGGGTGGAATGGGGCAGGGCAAAGGCAGGGTCAGGGGGTCAAGCATCCACTGGGAAGAGAGGAAGTTGGCACCTATGGTGCCAGGCTCACCCTGCTGCTGTCAGCTCCCAGCTGTCTCCCTGTGTAGCACTAGGCACCCCCTGCTGCCAGTTCCAAACAGCACCAGATTACCCCAGCCAGCCCCACTGGTGGCACCAGACTCTCTATCCCCCAAATGCCCCTGGCTGTCTCAACTTGCAGCAGCCAGCTATAGCTGGTGCCCTCCAGTCTCGCTCCCTATATTACTGCAAGATTGTGGTTTCACACTGATCTTAGGAGTCACTGTATAAAACACCTGGATCTCTGGCTGTTCCAGGGAACTGACAGCTCAATAAAGCAATTAAGGGAACTGAATTGCTTTTTTTTTTAATTTAAATTTAATGGAGATATCCCATCTCCTAGAACTGGAAGGGACCTTGAAAGGTCATCAAGTCCAGCCCCCTGCCTTCACTAGCAGGACCAAGTACTGATTTTGCCCCAGATCCCTAAGTGGCCCCCTCAAGGATTGAACTCACAACCCTGGGTTTAGCAGGCCAATGCTCAAACCACTGAGCTATCCCTCCCCCCTGTCTCCTCTCCTTTAATACCTTCCATCTCTAGCCAGAGGCATCTTTAAAAAGGACAGTTCAGCAACACTAGCATTTCTCCTGCTTTACGGGGCAACAGGCAGAATGCAGGCAGCCATGGGTGTGATTCATAACTGGGTCTAGGAGGGTACAGATTTCCTCTGGCTCTGAGGAAAGTTGGGTGTATCATTGGGCGGAGGGATAACTGGTTTGAGCATAGGCCTGCTAAACCCAGGGTTGTGAGTTCAATCCTTGAGGGGGCCCCCCACTTAGGAATCTGGGGCAAAAATCAGTACTTGGTCCTGCTAGTGAAGGCAGGGGGCTGGACTCAATGACCTTGCAGGGTCCCTTCCAGTTCTATGAGATAGATATCCACCAGCCCCTTTAGCAGAAGAGCTGCTTGCTAGATGTTTCCTTGTGCAACTACAATAAGCCTTAGATGTGCCTGTAGTAGTGTTCGGCCGAGGTTTGGCCGTCAGCGGGGTATCCCACCACCTTGCTCTGGTCGGGTGGCAGCCTGGGACAACAGGCACACCGTTAGGGCCTCTGGCCCGTAGCAGGGCCTGAGCCAAGAGGTCAGAACCCAGGCCCTTAAGCCAGGGCTGAGGCAAAGTCTATAGCAGCCCAGGCACTAGGTCAGGGTGGGGCAGCAAACAAATAGCCAAACAGCAGCCCAGGCCTTGTAGTAGGGGCTGGGTCAGTAGCAAATAGTCACTCAGGTACCCAGCCTCTCTAGGCCAGGGGAAACAGGGGGAGTCTGCCACCCAAGGAGTGGGTGGCAGGGGGGATGCAGGCCCTCCCACTCCACTGCGTCCCAGTCTGGGGCCCTAGCAGCGGCAGAAACTCGCTGCTGTCAGTGGGGATCCTGGCCGCAACACACTGATATTGGCTCTGGCAGTGCAGCAGCCAGACTGGGGTCGGCTGCCCCCGGGCTACTTCCACTCTCCACCTCGTAAGGTACCTGGGCTCTTAGTGTTGTCGGTGCTCTCCACCAGCATTGGCTCCTCTGGGTAGGTAGTGAAGGGCAGGCTTGGCTCCTCCTCGGGGTAGCTGGCATGGGGCAGGCTTGGCCTGTCCTCCTCAGGATACCGGGCGAGAGGTAGGCTCGACCGGCCCGGTGAGTCAGCAGGCCGGTCGCAGCCTGCGGCTGTTTCCCAAGCGGGAGCTTGGCCACGGACGTCCGCTCTCTCTGCCGGCCTGGCCTACACTGAGCTCTGCAGGCGGGCTTTTATACTTCTGGGTCGGGACCGTGACCTTGGAGGGGTGGGTGCTGGACCTGGTGGCTCCAGCCATGTTGGTATTAGGGGAGGTTTGGCCGTCAGCAGGGCTGTGGGGTATCCCACCACCTCGCTACAGTGCCCCAGAAGGTTCTTAGGTACCCTGTTTGTTCAAGTGCTGAACTCTTAGACTACTTGTCACCAGGAATACTGTAAACTTCCAGCACCACAGGTTTTCCCTGCAAAGGGCCATAGTCAGCTAAAGATTTAGTGACCAACAAATGCTTTGCAGAGCTTGATATTCTTGGCTAAAGGAGGAATAGAATGCCTGGCTGCAAAGCTCCTTTCAGCCCCCTCTGCTGTAGTATGGGGTGGGTGCATTGCCATGGTGGGGAGCAGAGGATTCTGTGGAAGGAGACAGCACTGCTAATAAAGCCTCCTTTAGTTAAGAGCTGCCATAGACGGCCCTCATTTAAGGAGGTGCATCTGGAACATTGTTAGCCAGTCAGCTTTGGGCTACCCTTCACCCACTCTAAGACCTCTCTCAATAAGCACATGCCAACAGAGTAGTTTATTCTTAGACCGTTTATTCAGAATCACACAAAGTACACATTCTCTGAAATGATTGCCACAAATAAGAGATACACATATAAAAAAGAGGGGCACAAGTTAAACCACTTTGCTGTGAGGGGGGGGGGGGGAAATCCTGCTGGTGGCAGAGAAAGTTGTGTCAGCAGCAGGCACTTTGAAATAGGAGTTGACTGTCACCCTACTACATTCAGCCTCATATGGTTTGCTACTCTTCCCCTTCCCCCAGCCTGGAGACTGAGGACTACAATAGGAGTCAGTTTCTAAGGCAAGCAGATTCTTCTGTATAATTATGTTTAGCCAAGTAGTTTCTCAGAAGAAAGCACAGGCTTGGCTGAGAGTTTGAAATGCAAGCAGTCCATGATGCAGAAGTAACTGCAACATTACCCAGGTAATCAAGTGGTTTCTCTGAAGGGCACAAGAGGAGATTCCTTTAAGAGTGGAAGCATCCCAAGTACTGGAATATCACCCCTCTTGATCTAGGTCACCAGTCTGAAGTTCTCCGCTTCCTCAGAACATGCTTGTTGGCTTCTGTGACCCTCGTTTGACAGGGGACATTTCTCAGACAGTTGGAAGTGCCTATCATTCAAGGACATGTCAGCTAAGGAGACATGGCCTTATAGTGAGTCAAGCTGACACTACTTCCACATCCCAGGGATACTGCCACCAAATAAGCTAACTAGGGCAGGAGTCTACCTGGCAGATGAAAACAAGTCTGGGCTGGATCTTCTGTATTTGCTCAGACCTACAAGATGGAAGAGTTACTCTTCCAGAGAAAAGTCATGGGTAGCTCTTAAAGGGAAGAGTGTCCTCTGGCTAAAAGGGGAGCCTGGAAAGGAGCCCTCACTTGGGCAGGCTAGCAGCTTCCAGAGGGCTTGCCTAAGCAGGAAATGACAGACCAAGGAGGGAGGTCTGTGTGCCACAGCAAAGCTTCTAGGAAACTGAGATGGGAAACTTTATCTTAGCTCATTTAAGGAGCTGTTTGAGAGGCAGTTGCCTAGAGACTGCACTAGTACTGCTACAAGAGAGTCTGGGAGGGAGATGGTCTGACGGCCTCCCTGCTCAGATAGCTCAGCTAGTTTAAGCAGTCACAAGACTGCCCTTGGTTCAGAGTTACCTGGTTTCTGTATCTTAAGCCTCCTAATCACAGCAACCATCAGAGACAATGTTTTGGCACTGTAGCTACAGACAGTCAGTAGCAAGCCAAGATACAAGTAGGAGAGTTTAAAACATAACTTAAAACATTAAGTCAAATGCATGCTTACAATAAAACTTCCCTATCTCACAGGGGGATTTCTGCTTAAGTCAGGGAGAGCTGGGGCATTATTCACACTGAATACCTAATCAGAACTCTTGCTAGGTCAAGAGGCCCTTCATCTGGGAGTTATTTTGGGTTGATAGAAGTCTCATGTTCCCTTGGAAGGAGCAGCTAGTCCTCAAGAGGAGAGTGGTGCACAATTTAAGCATCACTGAGGGATCAGGCCTTTGTTTTATTACAGCACTGATGCTCTTCAAGGAGGGAGGTTATGTCACTTCTTCCACCAACAAGTTAGCCAGGATGCACCTGGTGCTGCCACCTCCCTCCAGAATGTGGAAAAATGAACCCAGTGTGGCTACTTTTGTAGTTCTATAGTGTAGATGGAGTTTATTCAGGGTGCAGACAAGGAATTCTCAGCTGTATGAAATGACAAAGTTTGCACAATCCAAGGGATTTTAGAATCATTTACATTTGGAATACTGACATCCCCACCCCCAAGAGATAGTGCTTGGAACCTTCCTGTTTCTACGGCAGGTTGGAAATTTAGGCCTATGAGCCAGGAAGAACTTGTACAGTGCATCTTCACTCTCTGGCAGAGTACTTTGTAGGTGTGTATGAATGTCTGCCATCATCCTGCAGTTCAAAAGAAGAGAGAGTTTAAGTCACACCCCTAGAGATCTGCCTATGCCCCAGATAGCATCCTTTTCTCCTGCCCCCAAGAGACTTTTCTTTGGGACCCTGTACTCAGTGACCTTTTGCTACAGAGGGACAAGTGTACCTCATGAGGGAGAACTCCATTATCCTAGAGAAAGGCATATATGGAGAAGTCTAACATTGCATTATGTGGAGTGAGTTAGCACACAATGCTAGAAAGCTGCTCCTTGCCTGGAGTAGGAATATGCTCTCAGCTTGGAAGGAAGGATCACCACATATCTTAATATTGGAAAGGTATGAAGCTATGGGGATTTGGTAGTAGTCTCTTCAGTGGGGAAAGGAAGATTCAGATAATAGTTGTATGAGTGAGGGTATTAACAGATCTGCAAAGCTGAACTCTGAGACATGGTAGGAAAGCTCCGAAGAGCAGTGGACTTTGGAAAGCCCAGTAAGAAGCAACACTGTGGCATCCCTAGACCTGTTACCTCCCTTGTTTGTGCCACTTTAGTATTCTAGGGCCTGGTAGCAATAATAGTCTGTGCTCACCTTAGGCATGGAATTTAAGTAAGGAAACATGCCCCCATCCCTGGATTGTTACTTGCCTCTTCAATGGTAGAGCGGAATCCTTGGTTATCCAGTTCAAATGTTTGTGTCCCTGCTTCATTGTCTCTCCCACCCTGAATTATAGCCTTGTCGTGCCAGCCAAATAGCCCAGAATTCAGGTACTAGTCAGAAGAAAGAAAAAAAAATTACACCATAAGTGCAAGAAGAGATCGGTGTTAACAGGCTAGTGAGATGCATTACCAGTGACTAGGAAATGACTGACAGCTGCTCTGAATAGAGAGCTCTAAACCACATGCACCCTTGTGTAGGCTAGCCCACATAATGGCTCAGTGGACCAGGCTACTGGACAAGCCTGTCTGAGTATACAACTTTTGTACAAGAGGCAAAAAAGTTACCACCTAGAAATGGAGCAATCTGTGGTACATGTTAACTCTGCTTTACTGCTAAGTTAGCTTCTACATCTGAAGATGGCCTCATTCCCTATTTGAAAGTTATCCAGGAGGAGACTAAAGTTAAGTTGACCAGTACACATTTTACACAAGTGTTTCCACTTGCATTGCTCAAGAGCAAGTTATAGCCATCTGCTTGTGCCTCATGGTTGTTCAAGATGTAGTATTACCATCATGGGCCAGTTAGAAGATGGTCTCTAGAAATGCTCACCACTGTTCAAACCAATTTGTGGGATTGCCATCCCTTTGCATTCCAAGGAGTTTCGGGGTTAATACCCCATGTCTGTTGGTAGATCCCTGGTTACAGGAGCATTCACCCACAAGTGAATGGAGAGGGTGGGAAAAAAAAGCCACCGTACAGAAAGTTCAGATATCATGCCTTCTACCAGAGGCTATGCTTACTAAGTATTACTGCCACCTTACCAGCAGAGCCACAATGGGAATGGCAATTATAACAAGGCCACACATGACAATAATTGCCACAGCATATCCAGGGAAACTTGGATACACAAAGGGAGGTTCCAGTTGATCACCTAGAGTCAAGAGAGATCGTTAGTTCTACAGCGACTATGCAATGCCCTGTTAAAGAAAGTCAGATTCTTTTTTAGTAGCACCTCTTCACCCCCCCTTGCAATCTAGTGATCACCACAGCCTTTTTAGCTAAGCTATTTGAATGTAGCCCTTATAGGGGCAGTTTCTAGACTGGTCTCTCGGCTACAGACCCTTCCACCAGGAGCTCAGTCTAGTACTCTTGCCTCTCCATGAAAAGAGAGTCTCAGCTGGTACATTAGGCCAGTAGTTCTTTGGAGCCAATCCCTGTGGGCTGTTTGAAGCAGTGGTGTGGCCAGCTGCCATAGCCAACAATTTAGAGTTCCATCTTATGCAGGGTGCTTGAGCCTCCATTGGCAACAGGAAGCATGACCAGCTCTTAGTTTTGAGTGGCAGGGGAAGAAATAATTGCTGCTTCCCCCCCAGGTAAAACAGTAGTATAGTACAATCCACATGGGGTTGTGGTTCTGCTCCTGAAGTTTAGTGCTTTGGAGCCGGGAGTTTCAGACTGGAGGTCTGTTCTACAGCTATGTTAGAACAGCTAGGTAAGACTTTAGAACTTGACCAAACACCCCACTGAAGACATCTAGTATTTCAGCTAGATCCCCAAGCTGTCATACCTGCCACTGTGAAAGAATATGGGTCCACCTGAAAGCCTGACCCAGCCAACACATCATGTGGACCAACTGAAAGAACAAGAGTCTGCAGAACATCTGCACTGGCTGGGGCAGGATGCTGGAATACCACATTGCCATGACAGATCAGGGAGCCACTTCTGTGGAGAGAGCAATAGATTCCAGTGAGGCACAGTAGCAGTCACCGAGGGCCACAGGCTGTCTGGACAGGAAAGCCAGACCCATGGCTTTTAACCCAGGGTTGCATCCTGGAATCATTCAGTCTTAGACACGCAATTGTCACAGGCTCTAGGCAGCATGGGAATTAAGATCCACTGCTTCTTATGGAGAACGGTTACCTTCTAGCCAGAGGCTCACTGAAGTTGGTGGGAACTTAGTAGGTAGAAGAGGGAGGCATGCTTTTTGGATCCAGAAACACAATTACTGTAGGGTGGGAGTCTCAATAATGGATGTAGAAACAAACAGGTGCCACAAATACATGCTTTGGTCAGCCACTTTCAGCTGGCATCTTCCCAATCACTACCTTAGTAGGGTATATCCTATACAGATAGACTTCTGGGGCACCAGGGGGATCAATGTATCTTGTAGGAGGCAGACAAGAGGCCTTCCAGCCTACACAGAAGTAGAGTGTTTACTCACAGGAGGTCTCGAATTACCACTTGCAGGAGGCCTTGGTATTTCTTCAGGGCATGCATCAGCTGGAAGAGTGGATCAGAGTTAGACTGATTTAGTTCCCCTCCCACAGGCATTTTGTCCCATTGTGAAGCCTCTGCCAACAAGATACTCAGAACATCAGTCTCCAGCTCAACCCCATTCAGACCACTCTTTCCTCAGCTGGAGTCAGACTCAGGCTTAAGAGTTGCTTCACCCACCAGTTAGAGTTGTGGGAGCTCCAGCAAGGACATACATGTCTGGAGTAACTCAGATGCCTTAAGTCCAGGTCAATCTTCTAGGTTGAGCCTGGAGTTCTAAATCCTCACCTACAGAACACCACATTAGGAAGCTTTGAAGCTCAGACACTATAAAGTCTGATTAAGCATAGCATGCTCCAGTAGTGTAGTCTTAAGAAGCAGTCATGTAGCTGACCTTGTGTTTAATTGCAACTCCCCTTCCCTACCACAACCCTCCAGCTGAAGCTTTTGTTGTGATAGAATTTTACAAAGTTGTTTGATTTGTGTGATCATTTAAGTGAGCAACAAGAAAGAGCAGACTGTCCTCCTCAAGAGTCTAGTTTCACTAGAGAACCTTGGGGGATTACTAGTGTTTCCAGAAGCTTGGAGCACCCATTATGATAAAACACTAACTATTTTATTCCAAGTTAAGAGTGCTCCATCTGCTAGGAGAAGGAGTAGTCCAAGGCCTATATTTAGGATTAGTCTGAAGTAATGCTTTCTAGATTCCCTCTTGAGATCTTTAGGGCAGAAAGGAGGATTCTATAGGGTCTCCTCTCCATCCCCAGAAGCCTCTCAGATTACACTGGGGTCACCGGCTGGAAACTGGGTATGCCTACCACATCAGCAAGGTCCCTGGTGAGGTTCTGGTGTTCCACAGAAGAGTGATCCAGCAGTTTCTCATTGACTGTCCTGTTGTTGATCAGGAAGGAAATGGGGAAAACCTGCAAGCTAAGCCTTGAATCTGGAATTGGAAGAAGAGATCAGAGCTAGATAATGTTTAGTGGCCTCTACCAGCCAAGTGAAACAGCACCAGAGGGAAGGATACTGACCATCCACAGAGAGAGTTGTCAAGTCTACAGAGTAGTTAACAAGACCCCTCAGTGCTTGCAGAACCTGGTGGACATCAGCATGGACACGTGTGTCAATGTAGGCTTCACCATGAATTTCCAGGTCACCTTTGATATCCCTAAAGGAGAAGAGAGTTTTATCAGGGCACAAAGGTAAGAGCCAGCAAGGGTTTGGAGGCTTGACAGCACGCTTGCTGCCACATTTCAGTTGGTTACTAGAACAGTACTGCAGCCACCCAGAAGAGTCACTAATGTCTGATAGTCTCTGCAGGGATTGCTATGAAGTCACAATAGAGCCCCGCAGCAGGACTGCAATCCCACAGGACCTGCTGCCCTAATAGCAGGAGCTCATAAAGTGTACTTTTTCCACTCAATCCCATAAACAAAAACCCCACACATACAGACTGGGGTAATTTGCAGGAAAACACTAAATCTCTTGTCAGTTTACCAAGACTAGCCTATCTTGGAAATGGCTAAATTTTGTTCGTGAGAGTTAAGTATTTTACATGGTTTAAGCAAGGTTTTATTCTTTTAGTGATAAAAATTGTCTGAATTCCATGTGTATATTATGGACTTTTAGTAGCATGGGGGAGGGAATCTGGGGAGTGGGATCACACACACACAAAAGAGCCCTGCATGGGACTATTTCACAGCAGTTGCATCCAAGACTGGATGATTAATACACGCCCCTACTCATCCTTTAATTGGCTTTTGTATGGAGGGATTTTTATTGCAATAGAGCCAGATGCTATTGACTAAGTTGGAGCCAGTGCTAGAACTAGAATGAGTCCAGTGCCCAACATGCTGCTTCAGGCATTTGAGATGCCTTTCATCACAGGAGGTTGCATTGTGACACACAAGGTAGTTCTCACAGGATGCACCTTTTCCTGAGTACTGTTAGCATCACAGCATGGAGACCTTTGCTTTCTACCTGTTTGTTTCAATCCAGGGAGGGATAGCTCAGTGGTTTGAGCATTGGCCTGCTAAATCCAGGACTGCGAGTTCAATCTTAAAGGGGGCCATTTAGGGATAAGGGGCAAAAAAAAAAAAAAAAAAAAAAAGTCTGTCTAGGGGATTGGTCCTGCTTTGAGCAGGGGGTTGGACTAGGTGACCTCCTGAGGTCCCTTCCAACCCTGATATTCTATGATTTTATGACTCCCACTATCCTGAAGGTTCAGTGTTCTATGTATGGAACACAATGAAATTATATGTAGTGTTGGATTCTTGCCTCCACTTTGCTGCTTCCATTCCTTCCACCCTCTCCTGCATCAAGAAGGTGTTTAGCTTACAAAAAGTGGCAACAGGAGCAAGTCATTGAGCTCCCAGGATTGCCTCTTCGGGTACGTCTACACTTACCTCCGGGTCCGACGGCAGGCAATCTGTGTTCTGGGATCGATTTATCGCGTCTTGTCTAGACGCGATAAATCGATCCCGGAAGTGCTCGCCGTCGACGCTGGTACTCCAGCTCAGCGAGAGGAGTACGTGGCATCGATGGGGGAGCCTGCCTGCAGTGTCTGGACCCGCGGTAAGTTCGGACTAAGGTACTTCGAATTCAACGTAGCTGAATTTGCGTACCTTAGTCCGAAGTAGGGGGGTAGTGTGGACCAGGCCTACCTTAGGGAAGGAGTATTTGGCAGAGAGATAATACTAGTGACATCTTGTGGGTAGCTAGACGTATTGCAAGCTCTCTATATGCCCTACAATTCAGGGAGTCTCAGGCCTGCTCTCCTGTGATCAGGAGCGCTGCCAGCTTTTCTGCCACCCTAAGCGGCGGAAGGTCCTGCCCCAAAATGCTGCCCCCCCCCCCCAGAGGCAGCAGAAGGTCCTGCTGCCAAAATACTGCAGCAGTTGCCACCCCCCAAAATTGTAGCGCCCTAGGCGAACGCCTAGGTTGCCTAATGGGTTGTGCCGGCCCTGCCTGTGGTAGATGGTAGTTGGAAGCTGCTGAATGGTTATTAGGTTCACCCCAGAAGAGGGTCCCTAAAGCAGTCTAGCCTTATGCAGTCTAGTGAAGGCTATTTGGCTCCTTTGCCCTTAACCTAGCACTGCCCAGAGCTCCCCCATGGCTCCCCCATGCTGCTAAGTGGCGGCTTCTGGATGTTTCACTTCCAAGTAAGGTCTAGAGCTCTGAAAGGAACCATCACTTTTCCATACCTGAGTCTGACAAAGGAGAAGTTCTTCACTTTGTACAGGGCCCCCAGAGATTGAACCACCTACAGAGAAGAAAAGGGGACAATTTGTTTCCCAGCTTCTCCAGCCTCCCCAATCCATCTTCTGAAGCAACTATTCAGCAGGAGCCTTATTCCTAATTCAGTTACTTAGGCTGCTGTTTCCATCCCCTAAATATCTGTTCTTGTCTCTTGCAGTCCTTGATATGCAATTGAGCTGCTGTTTCCTTTCACCCCAGTGGAACTAGATTGGAGTTCTGGTAGTCTGTTTACTATCTACAGCCATATGGTTCTTATTTGTGTGGCACTGTCTTCACTAGCCTCTACTTGCAGGGCACTAAGACTTCTGCTAGAGTTAGTGAGTCACTCAGCCTTGCAAGATTGTCAAGCATTATCCCCACTTTGCAGATATCAAGGGACATACCCAAAGTAACAGAAGAGCCTACATTTCCCATGCCTTAACCAGGAGGTTATTCTTCCCTTACAGGAGATAAAGGGAGACACTGGTCATTGTCATATGATTCAACATAAGAGTTACCATACCATATTGTTTAGTCGGTCCAGAGGGCCCTGGCTACCCACACCACCAAATGCTGCAATCGAGCCAAGTCTCAGAGCAGTGAATAAAACCAACAGCTTTTCTGGTTCTAGATTCTCAAGGCTGAAACCTAGAGAAGAGTGAGGCAGAAGGGCAGTAACATTCCCTAGACAGGACACCAGGCCATTACTCTGTCACCCTCCCCCCTCGTCTGTCCAATGCTGGAGAGCTGATGTTCAAGCAGTACACAGGCATTGGGCCTGAAGTCTAAACTAGAAGACCCACTGTTTTAATTTGTGGGGAGGTAAAGTTTTGGCCAGAGGGGGAGAGTGCATGGGGTACCAACAAATCCGAGGTGGCAGGAGGCATGCTCCATCTCAGGGATGGAGAACCCATAGGAAGGGCATGCTACTCTGATATTTTCCTTGAAGCAAAATGCAGTGTGCTGTGAAAGCATCCCCATCACTATTACTGCAGCAAATGCAGTTTACACATGACACTGGATGGTTATAAAGAAACATGGTACAATAGTCTCCAAATATATGGCTTATGCCTAATTGAGAGACAACACCCCTTCCCATCAATGTGGAGATTGCAGAAGCCACCTCTGGGAGGCACATGCCATGTGGCTTGGTTACTGAAGGGCAGGCTTGACTGTTCCTGTGGCCATCTGGGAATGGGGAGGAGTGGTAGTGGGAGCTCTACCCTGCTGCTGGGCACTGTATTGTGTTACAATGACTAGGTGCTTACCATTTGACTGGACAGACTTGACATCCACTCTCCAGCCAAAAAAGGTGTCCATTTTCCTTTCCACTTCTGTGACAACTGTACGGATGAGGTCAGAGTTAGTGGGAGCAGGGCCATCTCTCTGGAATAGAACCTCACTCTCAACAATGATGGAGCCGTTCCTGTGAGAGGCCAGGGAGACAGCTAGATGAGCAGTGTTTAGTAGCATGATAGGATTGTATCAGGTATTATGCAAACACGAGTCACAGCTTTAGAGAGGCTATTCCAAAGGACCACCAGCTTAAAGCATGAGCTTGGTATTCCCCAAGGCATTTGTCAGCCAATAGCCACCTACTGTCTGTTCTAGTAGACAATTTCCATCACTGTGTACCCAACCTGTTTCTGTTGTGTAACTTGGTAAGTTATCCCATCCAGATGGGAAGGGAAGCAAGACAACCTGAAGTACTTTATCTATAGTGTTACTCCCCACCTGAGGCTCACCCTCTTCCCTGCATAGCTTACAGATACAAGCTGCAATGGAATCTATGCACAGCATGTTTAAAAGCCTAGTATTTCTCAGAGCTAGGTGTTGCCTTCCTCAGAGGCCTGGTGTGTGTTGTGTAAGATACTCACAAAAACTGGAGAATGTTTGCTTTGAGAAAGTTCTCATAGCTGGATAACATCTTGTTTAGCTGAAAACAAGGAAAGCCACTGGTTAAGGACACAGATTTTAACAGCTACTTCACTATGAATAGCAAGGGCTTACTGGAAGTGTGGTTGGACTTGTAGGAACCTGGACTCTTTTGCACAGAGCCAGGAAGTGAAGTCAACGACACTAGTTGTTCTTGGATTGGGAAGTGAAGCAGAGATTCAAATGAGATTAATAGATAAGCACAGTCTGGCAGGGGGAGATTGGGGGGTGGAGGAAGCATAGAGTCCATGTGGGTCTGAAGGATTAGTAGGAAATGCTATTTCAGCATCGCCATGCATAGAATAAAGAATTTGCCTTACCACAGTCCAGGTATTGTGTTCCAAGCATTAGAGCTACCTTCCTCTCATCATAAGATGAGTGGATCATTTGGGAGGACAAAGCCCCTTGCTTACAGATGGCTTGTCTGCATCTGGGTAGTGTTGATCATGACTAAAGCCAAACTTGTGGCTGTTCAATGGTAGAAGTATGTGCACTGGATACTCATTAAAGATACCAGTCTGATAAGGCTGGGTATTAGTTCACCACCACCTCAGGAATCCTACTTAGGATCCTTATGGGCTAGATAGACCTTTCCTCAAGAGAGGAGTCTTCATAGCCAACATGAGCTGAAAACAAGCTACAAGTAGCTACTCAGTTGCAGCCTGGCAACCAGAGGAGCCAAGTTCAGCTCTAGTAACTGGCTGACTTCTCTAAATTCCAACACTTTCAGGAGTTCTACTTACAGTTAACTTCACTTCCTTCTCCAGCTTCTTGTAATCATCAGAAGACTTGTTCTTCAGGAGTTCTGTGTAAGCAATTCTAATGAGACAGAACTGCAGAGGTAGGATATGCACAGGCAACTGCAGTGAAGGTGATGTCGGTCTATGTGCAGACCTAGTCTTTCCCTTTGGGGAGGAGCTCAGTGTTGGAACCTTGGATTCAGGCAGAATCGGCTTTGAAATGATACCAGTTTTGATTGTAGCCACCTGCCTGGCAGTCACTGCAGCTGTGGTTAAGTTCTTTCTTGCAGCCATCGTCCTAGTTAATACACTAAGGTCTGTTTTAGCTGTTGAAAGGTGTTGGGAGATTAGCAGCAAGTGGGTGGATAAGGTTGATGGAGGTATAAGCAACGGTGATACAGTGGTTTTGTTCCAAGGCATCAGCCTAGTTGGCTTCGGTACAGTAGGAAGCTGCAGGCCAGCTGTGGTTGAAGTTCTGGCGCTAGTCAGCAGGGCAGTGGTCTTTATTGTGGGTGGAATGCTGGGGGTACTACGAAGGGAAGTCACCACACTAGGTTTGGCTTCAGTGAGGGACTGGAAAATGGGAGCTTTGGGCCCAGAAGACTGTGTAAGGTTTATACTAGCAAGTAATGTAGTTGTACTTAGTGCTGGAGGTGATGGCAGTGGAGCAGCTGTTCTGTTTTTGACTGGTGTAGCCTTAGACACAGCCATGCTTGTGGAGGTCAACCCAACAGCAGGTGCCATAGCAGTGACTGGAGACTCAGCAGAGGCCAACCCACTGAAGTTTGCAGCCTTTGTAGACACACCAGGGATTTTGTGCTCTCCCAGAGTTGCTGATATGGGCTTCCATTCAGATGATGCAGCTGTAGTGGAGGCTACTGGGACACTTGCTGCTGTTATAGGCACTGGAATATGTTCAATTCCAATAGGGGTTGAGCCAGCAAGCAATGCTAGCCCTGTTCTGTTCAGGTACCGGGGAGTGGAATGGGTGACATTTGCATCAGTCTCCATTATGACACTTGTATCACTACTTGTTTTAGAGGGCAACATAGGGAAGGTCTTATTCTGTGGAGAAGTGTGCACCTTTGGCCTTGGCTGGATGTCCGTCCCACTAGGCAGAGATGTGGTGGAGTGGGATAAGACTGAGTCAGCTGGGGTGGACAGCCTTCTTCTCATTCCTGGTCTACGGAGCAAATAATGCTTACGTGCTGGTTGAGCTTGTGGCCTTGTTGAACTTGAACTGGAAAGCAGCTCTGTAGTTGGAGCATCACTTGAAGCTCTGAGCAGGAGGTCCAAGGCGCCAGTAGGCATTTTAGCCACTACTTCAGCAGTTGCTGGAGTCTGCTCTTTATCAAGGAACTTCACTGTTTTAGTTAATTCCCTGTAGAGGGTGGCACTAGTGATGTTTGCAGCTGTACTGGCTCCTGAGATACTAGGGGATGTCTCAGGGCAGCAAGAAGAAATACTGGACTGAGTTCTAGGGCCTTTGCTAATAGGCAGCATATGGGATGGAGAATAGGCTGCAGTGTCTTTGTGCAGGAAGCCTGCAATAGTCTTCACACTAGTCAGGACTGTGGAGTAGGTCAAAGCCTGACTGGTACCAGCAACTGGAGTGTCTGGCTTGGAGGAGACCCCTCTCATTGATTCCTGAGAGGGAGAAACTATTGTTAGATTGGCAGCAGCATGTGTAATAGCAAGGCTAGGAGAACCCTTTTGTTCCACTGTATTAAGGTCAGTAGACACCCAGGTTGGACAACTAATGGAATCAGAGCCAGCACATGCCATTTCAGTAGTGTGCTCTTTCAGTCTATGACCCAGCTGTCCCATTGGCAGGATTCTCTCTGTAGAGGAAGTGCTGGCAGTCTCTGCATCAAGTTTGAGATGATCAAGGGGATGTGTGGCTGAGGAGAGGCCAACTCTAGCTGCAACTGAAGGGGGACCCTCTGTAACACCTCCAGTCAGCTGAGTCATATCACTGACTGCAGCATCAGTGAAAGTGTTAGCGCTAGTTACTAGACTATGAGCATTCTCCCTGGAGTCCGTCTGTTCTGAAGAGGCCTCAGGAGAGGTCTCTTCCAGCACCAGAGAGCTTGGTGTCTCAAGATCAGCTGGAATGTCTGATAATCCTGATGAACTAGTAGTTAGAACTAGCGGCTGGCCCAGTCCAGCAGTGGCTGGCTTGGGAACTGAGGGTATGTGAGCCCTGGTTCCTCGATGTCCTGACAGAGCAATAGGGAGATCTGTCCCTACACCACTCTGTGAAGGAAACCCAGATGAAACTTCTACTGAACTTGAATGCACCACACCAGCAAGCGTTCCCTTTAATGGTGAGGCTGGCGCACCAGATGGGGGATGCGATTGTGCAGTAGTCCTGACATGTACAGGTAGTGTTGGCCAACCAGTTGACTCTCTAACAGTGGGTGTGACAGCCATCAGTACAGCTGCAGTAAGCTGCTCCTCAGTCTCTACCCCTTCAGTGGGGCCTGCTAAGGTGTCTGGAACAGTAGGGGGCCCAGGAGATGGGTGCTCTGTGAAGTAGCTCAGGTCACTCACATGCAATGGTGCAGAAGCAGAGGTGCTGGCCATTGGTTTGGCAGAGGGCAGTCTTGCCATAGATACTGGGGCTGGGAGCAGGTTAGTGGATTGTGACATGCTAACAGGAAGAGCACTCAATGTGAATTTAGTCACATCAGAGAGTTCAGAGGGACTGTGTTCCTGGTTGGACATGGTTACACTGGGGGATGTGTCCAAGAAACTCTCTCCTGAAGGAAGGGATGGTGTTAGAGACCCTGGCTGTGTCCCAGGGACAGTACCAAGCCACACTGGCTCCACAGTTTCATGAGCAGCCACACCACTTGATATGGGGGAAGAACCTGGCCACCTACTGGCCATCAGTTCTGCAGGGCCAACATTAGTTGCTTCCAGAGATGTGGACTGTGGGAAGTTAGTACTCATGGTTAAGTTATTCTGTGTGGGAACAACAGCTGGGCTGACTGGCATGGTAGGACTTGTGGTCAGGGACATTAAATAGGAGGGTTCCTGGCTAGTCCTATAGGTCTGAAGTGCAGAGTTCAGGAATTTAGGCAAGACACTAGTGGCCTTCTGATCTAGGCTAGTGCTGGGAGCCATTAGTGTGGTAAAGTGGGTCATTTTATACAGACCCCATGCCTCACTAGTGAGACTGTCTGCAGCAGCTTGTTGCATCAAGCTGGAGTTTGGCTTTAACTGAGCAGCAGAGGCAGTATCTGGAGAAACTTTTAGGGGCTGTGCAGATGCCTTTGGAGCAGAGTGCAATGGATCATACTGCAAGAAGTCCACATCTGTCAGAAGTGATGGTGCTTGGGACAGAGTACCAGGTACTGTTGCAGGGTAATTAGAGTCCATTGTGCCAACTTCCATTGCTTTAGATGCATGTGGGGAGACCATCAGGTCCTCCTTAGAGGATGTCTCTAGCCCCTTAGGGGAACGCTTAGAAGAGAAGCCTGTAATTTTAGCTAGCGCATCAAGAGCCAGAGAGGTGTCAAGTCTCAGGGTCTTAGAGTCAATGCCATTCTTCTCTTTCTTGGCAGTTCCCGATTTATAATGCAGGCTCCTTTTTCCATCAAGCTTGAACGCAAGTGCAGAGATCTGGCTTAAGTCACTCCATTTGGCTTCTGGGAGGCTTAGTTGGTCTGTGGTGCCTACAGAGTCTGCCCGTAAGCTTCTAGCATGTTTTTCCCCAGCAGCATGCAAGCCAGTTTGCCCTTTTACAATGTGGTTCAGTAAGTAGTTGTTGGATTTCATCAAGATGCCACCAGTAGCATTCTGGGATAACAATAAGTCAGGCTGCAAGGGTGAAGATGTAGGCACAGTGCCAAGAGGGTTCTGACAAGGAGTAGCTGAAGACCCTTCATTACATGCAATGGTGCAAGCAAGGAAGCAGGTGACTGTAGCCAATATGATTTGCCATCTATGCCCTTTGGCAACAGTCACTAAGGCAGTGGCAGGGCATGGGGTTACTCTCATGGTGCTTTTTCGCCTTCTTAGGGAAGCCATTGTTGTTTCTTGCCCTGAAGACTTATCCATATGTGGTGGTCCTGCTCCATGATTTATCATGGGCAATCTCATCATGGCAGCTCAGCTGTGAAGAATGAGGAGATACAGTAGTTGCTTTAGTCTGCAGTCCTCCCTAATTAAGGTAGCAGCTACTTTGATAGCTCATAGCCTCATGCCCCCAAGGGATCCACTAGCCCAACTGCAAATGGAAGACTAAACTAATACCTTTAATAACCTGTGCAAGGCTGACTCCAGAGATTGAGCCAATGAGTTCCTTGCCATTTATTAGTCAAGCTATGCAATGAGTTTTCCATTGCTACCCTCTCCCTAAGAAACCCCACTGCCTTTTCCAGCTAGGATTTTAAACCAGGACCTTCCTATGCTGGTTTCAAACCAAGCAGTTCCTCAAATTAATCTCAGCTAGAGATTGTTTAACATCATTGGATAGATGTTTTTTTATCTTGGTTCTTTTTTTTTTTTTTTTTTTTTTTTTAACTGGTCAGTTCTGACAGTGATCAAGAAAGAGCCAGAGCCCCATGGTCTCCTACCACACACTTATTGCAGCAGCAATTGTCTTTTGTTGAGTATTAACATAGCCAGCTCTTAAATAGGAGTGTTACTGTTTTAAATGGGTTCCCTCAACTACTTAAAGCGTTGTTTAGATGGGACCTCAGAAGATGCAACAGTGCAGACTGCAAGTACTGGACTAGATTAAAAACCGCAAGGAGTGGAGAGATGCCTTCTTTTTCCAGCCCTCTGTTACTCCAGATCACCTGTTACACATGGAGCTCTGCTCTGGAGGGGATGAAAGAGTCCAAAAAAAACAAACACACCACACCACACGCATTCCTCCAACCCCCTTGTTACAGAAACTGGGAAGAATAGACACGTTATTCTTATGGTACCTGACACCAAGGAGAGGGATGTGGGACAGTTTGCCAAGGATATCACTGCACCCCAGCTGGCAGATCAGAGCTGGTCAGCTACAGCTAATATGAAGGCTTGGTAGGGAAGTCAAACCTAGGAGCCATGAAGAAAAGTCTATACCAAGTAGCCACTTTAAGAGCTTTAGCAGCTTCTACCCACATTCCAGTGGTGCAACCATCACAAGGTAAACACTCTGCAGTGTCACTAGAGGGGCTAGGGAAGGAAGGGTGGGTGCCTATTCCAAATCCTGAGGCAGAACCCAGATTAGAGATCCTTTTAGGCTACAGCTACACTACAGCCTCCCAGCTCACATACTTGTACAAGCTACTCAC